GTTAGAGATTACTTAGAAATAACCCTGTAAAAACGGAAGGATTGTGATGTATGTTGCAATAGTATTAAATATTGTTTTCACTTCTCTTTCAAGTTTTTGTTTTGCAATTACATGAAAAAGCAGAAGGAAAAGCTAGTTAAGCAGTGTAGTCTCTTCTTTACTCAAGCACTGAAAATATTAAACAGAATATTTCATCCTAAATGACCCCCACTATAAATAAGATAATTGTACCTTACTATTTAGTGCTTATCCATAATCAGGTCTCATATACAGTAAAATAATGGATGATTAAGCTGACTGCATTTTGCTTTTAATAGTTTAATTTACATCTTCAGACAATCATGTTGTAGTAAAAGCTTTATGGAGGCATAGTGCAAGCATAAATAATGCATCTTTATGGATTTTCAGCAGGTAGCAGGGAGCAAGCTTGTATGCTAGCCATACCTGAGCTGCAGTTTAGTAAAATGTATGTTAAGCTCCATATCTCTCTCAGGTATAATGCAAATCTCCTAGGACAGTGACTAAACACATTTCTTTGCACTGCAGTCCACACATATAATGATTTTGCAGGCGACGTTACACGGTAGCACTCACTACTCACTCAGGCAATATTTTTAAATTCAGACATCACACCTTCCATGCTCTAAGGCCCCTCTCTGTCACGGCAGAATACGTGTAGTACAGGCAGGCATGCAAACAGGGTGCCATTTCAATCCCCTCTCACAGCAGAACATAAACAGCTGAATTCCAGGGAAGACAGCAATTGTGAAAATACACACAGACTACAGATTTCATGGAATTACAGTCACTAGTAAACAGTCTTTTCATTTTTACCTTCAAAACTGTAGTCCACTAGTAAACTCACACTGCTGGGGTCTCCTAGCTGGAATCTCCGCATCATTAGCTTGTCTGAAGTGGGGCCCAGAGTCCTTCACACAGACAGCAACTACAGGTGTCATGCCATGGGATTTTCAAATGTTTTTACAAGTGTTAACTTAAGAATATGCACAGCTCCAGGTAAATTACTCAACAGGCTATCCAGTACAGGGCTACTTCACACAGATTTCTGATGCATCTTGAGCTCAGGTGGAATGCACTGAAGACCAAAGGTGGCGCCCACCTGAGCAGCCTCATGGTTTTTGGAACAAGATGATGTCCACTTTCAAGGTCTGGGCAGAGAGAAGATCCCTTTGAAACTGCTGCATATTGGCACTATTCTTGTAAGTTAGTATCTTAAAAATGTCTTCCTGATACGTCAGGTGTAAAGGATAAGCAACTTCTTCAGCACGGGAATGAGTTTAGGAAATAGGAATGCCTATGTGGTTTTGTGATGCAAGGTGAACTCATTATTTTGAAGTAAGATTTAGCATGGTCTACAAGCATGTTATGCCTAAAAGACTGGCAAAGGGCAGGGGGTGGAGGGAATGAAAGGTGGGGACAGAGATGGGGAGGACACTAGGTATAGAAGTGATTGGTCTGTAGTCCCCCCCAGTTGTTGGCCCAAGTAAAAAGACCTATCCCAGGATGTCCTGTGGGTAGTAAGAGGCCTTCAATACACTAAACACCACTTCTCAAAACAACTCAGTCTGCCGCTTGAAGTGTTCAGAAAAACCAGGTGAGCTGCTGGCTGAAGTATTTCTCAATGCATCAGACAGGTTAATTGTTTCCTAGCAGAATACAAGCAATATTGCACCATCCTTTTTGTTGACAGAGTATGTAATAGTTCTGTCCATCACAAATCATGAATGATATCCTTGAATTAGAGAATAAAATTCTTTGCATGCATTCTGTGCTGCCCTGAAAGCCAACATATGTATGTGAAGTACTTGCACCAAGGGTTATTGACTCTGGCAATCAAAGGTTTTGAAGTAAAACTCACCATGACTGACATACATGCATTATAAACAAAAAGTTTAGGAGGAAAACAGAAGCAGCACCTACTGCAAACACAAGTGGATTTTGCCATTGGGGTAGCAAGCATTTCATCCTATGAAACAGGTCTCTGGAAATACATAAGTGCATGAGTGTAGACATACCTAAGAGCATTTTCTGGAAGGGGACATTACCTAGGTGTTCACCACCTAGGACTGCTGGACATGAATATAGATATGCATCTAAACACCCAAAGTCTTTCAACGTTTGAAAACAAACTACTTGGGGCAGAAGCCCTTGTTGGTATTAAGCATTAGAATTTCCCCCAAGGTATGCTAAGGACTAGACTGGGTAAGGTGACACTTCTTTCCCCCCCCCTTTCTCTAAAGCCTAAGCTCTTGACTGCAGAGTCATCTGGAGAGTTCGCAGGAGTTAGATCACCAGAGTGATCCAACCAGAGAAGGAACAATATCTCACTCTATCTGAAGTGATCTGTGTAACCACAGCTTCTGAAGGCCTTCAACTCCTGTGGAGAATGCAAGTGGCAGGGCACTGTAAAGATAACATTTTTGATTCATGGAGGAAATCTTCAGTGAAACATCATTACGTCAAAAGAGATGTTCTAAAGGGCAAGACACCAGCCAGTCTTCCAGCCAAGATCAGAGATGGTAAATCTTCCCCCAGATCATCTTAAACCTAGAATTGTAGTTGCAAAATTCTTTTAAGTCTAGGGTAAGGATTCAGCTTCCTTTCATTAAACAAGGTCGTACTTCCTTTAAGTGTAGCACAAAGGCGAGAAGACATGAAACAGATTTATGGTCTATACTTTTAGGCATGACATCAGTCTCAGAAGACAGACATCTTTGACTGGTGTTGCAATTGCTCCATTATACAATTATGCCAGCTGGTATAGGCATTAAAAAACATTATTTTATTTTTATTGAAACAGATTGTAGGATCCTTATCACAAAAGCTACCTTGTCTTGATTTTCCCAAAGTCCTTATCACTGGCAAGAAGTTTGCTGCATAGGTGAAGTACTTGCCTAGAATTTGGTATTTGCTGTTGCCTTCCAAACTAGACTTGGGTAGGACACTGGTGAGAACCTCGATATTTGATGTTTTTCATCAAACAAGCTTCATTAACAAGAAGGGTGACCACAACTGCTTTAAGGCAATGCAGAACACAGAGATGCAGCTTGCTAAGAGTGGGTTGTACAAAGCATCATAAATCCTTTTTAGAAAAACTATATAGTCATCAGCAGACTGAGTAAACTAGGCCATTCTTGGATCCAAGAGTAAGGTTAGTACTGGAAATGGTGCCATTTGTTCTCTACATTTCTGTGCCAGCACATTTCCTCCTTCACCACTGAACAGGACGTGTGTCAGCCCCTACAGGCAGCATAATTCCTCTCGGTTTAAAGGTATGAACATCCACAACCAGAGGAAACTGTTTGGAAGAAAAGCACTTCACATAGAGGGTTAGTTCCAAGCACTCGTGGCAATGAACTGGTCAGAGCGAGGGTGGCTGAGGAAACTTGGTCAATGTCACATATGACAAGGAGGGAGAATCTCTTCCATATGAGGAACTTGTACTTCACCAGAAGGTGCCAGGGTTCTTCAGAAGAGTCATGCACCTTAGCACCTGCTTTACAAAGGGGGGTCTGAACTTCAGTGTTTTCTTTTGTCATAATCAGCAGAAGTGAGAGTCGTAGTCTGAGGCTGGTACCTGGACTTAGCTCAGGCAGACTATTTCACAGCAAACAACTCTAAGACCAAACAAGTATCTGCATCTTTAGAGTTAACCCAATGGTGGAAGCTTCCACTAGGGCACAGGAGGCCAGTCACTATGACCACAGAAGAACCAGAGCCTTCATCCTGTGGTATAAATCTAAACAGAGAGCTTTCAAAAGACAGTAACATGTCAAATTAAGGGGTGGAGTTGGGGGGGAAAGACAGCAAAACCTTTTCCCCCCAAAGAGAACACTTCTTTACTCTACTGCTTGGAAGAGGCAACAAAACCTTTTCCCTGAAGACAAAACAATTCTTCACTATACTGCTTTCTGCCAAAAAGCAGACACTCTCAGTGTGGAACAAAGGTCCATAGATAAAACAAAACCTCACATGGGTGGCTCAAGACTGCAAGAAAACCTTGGAAGACATTATTGGCACGTTACTGAGTTTAGACTGAAAAACAGGCTAGGAGAGTTGGTGGGTATCAGCCATTTCAGAGTGCTATAGGGGCAATCAGGAAACCAGGCCACAGCTCTGGCCACAGACTGTACGGATCAAAATGACGGCCCTATGCATCCATCTGCCAAGAGTGATAGAGCACAGCGGGAACACAATCTGTCTGGCTGCAAAGGTCTTGCATCTGAATGATAGAGCTTATATACATCCTAACTGTGAATGTACATAGAGATTATCACTTGACACTAGAAAACAAAGATACTGAGGAGGATATCACAAGGGAAATACAGGAGAGTATATTAACGTATGTGGGTAAAAATTGTACAAGTAATAAAATTTTGATATTAATCATACGTTTCCAAAAATACCATCAAGGCCACCAGACTTCCCTGCCATACATTAACGTAGCATTTTGTTTTGTTTCTACACATAGCATCTACAAGCCAATAGCAACATATAATGCTATGGCAGTAAAGGGGAATAATTTCAATTGAGCATAAACAGAGACAGGCAATTACAACTGTACACAGTGCTCACAAATGCAGAATTCTAGCACGCTAACCCCTGAGATACACCAGCTATTATCGCTCAGCACACAACTGAATGAGAACAATAACCAAAACCACAGTGAGGTAATTTTAAAACACAGTACAGCAGATCCTGCTATCATAACAATTGATCTACTCAGAACAGCAGGCTGCTGGGCATAAATCAGTACGATCAAAGATGGCTTTAAAACCAAATTATTTTACTACAGTAGTTTCTTAAAACAAAGTCAAGCCAATCAAAAAAAAATATTGCTTCAAACTACAGATCACTGACACCTTTCAAAAAAACACCATCTACCTATCAAGCAGCAAAAAGAGCACTGGCATTAAGTACATTAGATGAAAACAGCCTATCAGTTCCTTTTTCAAGCAAGCATTCATTATAGTCTGTACCTGGCTGATATGTACAGCAGAAACCTGGGCAGAACACACGGATGAGTGGCTTGGAGAGTTTGGTAGAGATTTGCAGGGTCCAATTGAGAGTTGCTGTTTCTTCCTTGTTGCAACAATCTTCTGAGCAACTAAAGGAAAATAAAACACACAGGCAGGTAAGCTATAGTACACAATAAAATACGGTATATCAAAAGTATGCAGAAGGCACAAAACAAGGTTTTCCATTGCCAAGTCTTGCTCCAAAAATATATAGTAATTCATCCAATTAAGGAGACAGATGCTGATGTTCCACATTATATGCTCCAGGTGACACTCCATCTCTGTTCCCCTCCTGGATGAAATTGCCCCAGAACTCTCACTCCACCAGGTGAGCACCAGAGAACCAGTAACATGCAAGCAGAAGGGGAAAAGGCAGGTGTGCAAGTTACAAAAAGCAATACCAGGAATGCTACTACAAGTTCACTATACGCTTATGGTATCACACCGACAAAGCTTATGGTAGTACACATTTTCCATTCTTTGGGCTATTCTCCTTGCAGACAGAAGATAAGTATGAGCAACACTTGACTAACAAACAAGTTCAAGTGCATCTCAGTGCTATTTACTAGCATGATCCTGGAAGATGTCCTACATCCGAGAGTGAAAGTTCATTAGGAAAGCTATCGCGCCCAGTCCAAGCAGGTCTAGTTTACATGAAGGCGTGTACTCCCCCTGCTGAGGAATAAGGTGGGCTTTTCTTAATTACTGGCCACCACATCAGGGCAATCAGTTTCGGAAACCACAAGTTTAAAGCATTTGAGACAAATGATAATCGGAATAATAAAACTGATAAAGGGTCCCTGACGTAAAATACCTGGATCAGTGGTGCCACACATCCCATCCCATTCAAATTCATTATGGAAAGAAGCTGTATCATCATCTAGTTCTAGCTTTATTACTTAGTAGCACTAGCACAGCTGGAAAAATGCCAAATTTATTTTGCAATTTATTAAGAAATTATCTTCAACATGTAAAGAAAAGCAGCACTTATCAAACAGATACAGGGATCAGTCATTAACATCTCTATGTCCAGCTCAGCAGACTCATACTAAAAAATGGAAACAGAGCTGAAATGAAATGCAGCTACTTCTGTACCCCTCCTACAATTTTTCAATTTTAAAAAGTCAAACTATTTCAGAAATTCATTCTGCACTACACTGGAATTTCAGTTCATTCCACTATTCAGCTAAGGCCTTTGGAAAAAGCTCTTTTTAGGTCACAAATACTTAAAATTAAATCATTTACACTACATTCATTACCTACTTTTTGGGTCATGAATTAAAAAGTAAACAAAATTTCAGTCTTCAGAAACAGAGACTAGTATAACAGCTAATCAAAAATACTACTAACTAAATTTAACTTCCCTGCCTGCAGCAATCTTCATGAAGTGAAGCACTTTATGAAACTTGTGCAAAGGAGTCTGTAGTCACTTTCCTCATCTCCACCAAAATGGGTCAGTGAGGCAGAACTTCAACAATTATTGGCTTCTACTTAAAAAGTCACACAGAAACTTGTAATTAAACTAACAGCATTCAATCTGGTTTGTTCAGAAAGTATAAAAAGGTATTTATGTAAATTCCAAGATTATTTTTGCTCAGTACGTTATAACACAGGCAGAGATATTGTTTAGCAGTGTAAGCATACAATTTCATCTCAAATGAATGCAATTTTAATAACAAACTGGTCCATGGCTTATGTTTTTCATGTAAATGAATGATGGCATAACCATGATTTAGTGAGAATACGTTGTATAAAAAATGGCTCATATATACGAAGAAGCAGCTTCATTAGTTACATCCCACCTCCAATAGGCCTCTTATCATCCTGAAAGGATGATATCAATTAATTTATCTTCCCCTGGCATATTGATCATAACCTTCATCAGCTAATCATGTTTAAATTACAGAGGAATATCGTAGCACTCTGTCATTTCAGACCCATTGGTTTATTGATCTGGAGCCTGGAAAGCCATATATTAAAATATTTTAAAACACATTAGTGAATGCAGAGAGCAAACCGAAGGTCAGATTTTAACATATGCACATGGATTTGTCTTCATCAAATGTGGTAAAGACCTAAATTAAGACCAAAACTGAATTAAAACCACACATGAATGAAAATTACCTTCTCAGCAAAAGCTTCCACTCACACATGGGAGAGGTAATTAGTCAAGGAAAATATTTACCTCTTTCCTTCAGTCTGAATACAGGTGTGTTTGTAGCATTGCATTAACATGCGTAATGCAGTCTTGCCAAATTATCACTCTAGGAAGGCACAAGGAAAAAAAACCCAAAAACCAAGACAGCCTGAACTCACCTATTCAAGCACACAACCTAAACACTAGCTAAGTACTACAAAAGCAGTCACTAAAAAAATAAATAAAAAGCAAAAAAAGCACAAATTGTTACTCTAGAAACATGAAGAGTAATCCACAAAGCAGTTGGAAACTAAACCTTACACAGAGCAGCATAAAGCGTAGCTTATCCTGTGCACCGTAAAAAAGGTAAAATTGCAGTGGAAGATATAATGTTACCTACTTAAAACCATGCTACGAATTCTAGAATAGACCATTCTTCGCCTCAAATTTCTTAGCTCTTCCCTCCGTTAGAAAAATGATGTGCCCCCTAATGGAAATCCCCTTCTGAGCTGCCAAACCTTCCCAATTCCCCCTCCATTTCGGCAACATGTCTAATATCCCCCGCCAGAGCACGATTCCTCCTGCCTCTCCCCTCTCTTCATTAGGCAACCCGCTCTCCTTTGAGACACCAAACAGTTTTTGCTTCTTTCACTGAAGTCGTGTAGCTGTCACTCCATAATTAGGTTGCATTCAATATTCAAGTGCTCAGGGCTACTTGCCCTTGGATATGATGGTGATACAAGCTTCAGAAGTACCTAAAGGAGTACCCTGACCCTTCAAAGTTTGCAACATATGAAAGACGTGACTGATCATCTGTGGGGCAATCGCTGGACTGTCAAAAGACCTACTGTGCTCTTTCTAAAGCTACCTTGAGAGAAGAGATGAAACTTAAATCTTGCCCATCAGAAGTCAATAAAAGGGGTTAGGCACATATCTCCTCAGCAGTGCTGCTGCAAATTCACATTTTCTACATCTTCTATGCCAGAGAAGAAAGCCCTGAAATACACAAAACTTAAAATGGCTGGCACTGAAAACCCCACAGATCTGCTAACTCCTGCTGCTGACATCTTCAGACACAGTAGTTAGGGAGGAAAAAAACACAGTTAAATGGTTGTGTAGCAAGAGCAAAATACACCATAATTATAAGAACTAACGCCAGATCCAGAGAACAGCCACGCTATATTGCTTGTTCAGGCCAAACCACATTTCTGTTATTACATCTTTGTTAAGACTCCAAGTGATCGCTCGTTAGCTGCTTCACAGTGGTAAGAAAAAAAATCCTTAAACCAACATATTTTGTTTCCACAACTACAACTATATACAAGCTCACACCGGATTTATGAGCAACTTTGTCAGAGTGTATCAAAATATATGCAAAATATTACTTCCCCCCCCCAAAGGCAGTACCATCACCGCCACAGTTCAGGCAGCTCAGCGGCGAGGCGGAACCTCTACTGAAAAACGCATAGCAGTAAATACTGCTCTTCGGGAATGCCTGATGCAAGCTGTGGCCATATGTAAACATCTTTTTGCTGTTAATGAAAGCCAACTAGTTGTACTTCATTAACCAATTTAAGGCTACTCAGAGTCAAAATCTTCAGATTAATATTGAAGCGCCTATAATTGAAATGTCAGTCCAGAGGAAGCTATACAATTAAAACAAACATTTTTCTATAAAGTGAGTAGAGAATGCAAGAAAGCAGAAATATTTTTGCTCCAGAGCTTTCTGGTTCCATCTCATCCCAAAGATGATTCAGTGCTTCTGAATTTAATGTAAATACACTTGCCCAGACATGTTTCTAAAACAGATGAATACTGACTTAATTCGCGTGGCAGAAATCAAAAATAACCAAGATAGTGACAGGCTTTTCAACTATTTTGAAATATCAATTGCATTCCTCTCTACTTTTATATATTCAATTAAGCTATCAATTTCTGAGGTATTTTTATTGTAATCCACCTATCTGTAGTATGAAAAGCTAAACAAAATTTATTTGCAAAGTCAAGAACTCTTCTGCAAATAAACAGGGACATGACAAAGATATTTAGAGCTGTAAACCAGGAGAATTGTTATTTAGTAAATATTAGGTCTTTGAGGAAGGCTGATGCTTATTTCTTGTACTTTTAAACAATTTCACAAGCCAGAATGACTAGAAGTTATATTTTGCTTTAAGGCCTTGTTAATTAAAAGCATGTGAAATTCCTGGTCTGCAAGATGAATAAAATGTCCAAGTTTGGAGAGAAAGCTCTTGACTTGAATGCCTCTTCTTCCATGCCTGACATAGCTCACCAAAACAAAATTAACCTTCCCACCCCCTGCCACTTTCATCTCAAACACTACTTTTTGTTAGTCAAACTACTCATTCGTAAGCAGCTCCTGCTAACTTCTCGCCCGGATCGTTTAATCGGAAGGATCATACCACTGAGCAGGAAAGCTCAGTGGTCTAGCAGCCTCCGAGCTGTAAAGCAAGGTTTCCGCACTCCAGCTCAGGAGATCTGCATTGCAAACCACCACCGTTTCCATTTGCACATAGAAAAAAGTTACCTGTACACTAATTTCCGCTAAACAAAGCTCTCCTATTCTGCTCTCAAGGCGTGAGGCTAACTACCAGAGGACTAAATTCACTCGCAGGAGGAAGAGCAGGTCACCTCCTCTCCCCGAAACCCAGAGCTGCGCCTCCATAATGAACCAACTCCTCTTTGTGCTCCATTTCGGAGCTAATCACCATTAGAAATACTGTTGCCAGAGTAACTGCTCTGACAGAGTTGTCTTTCCTTGGTTCAAAGGGCTGTTCACATGTCAACTTCTTGTGCAGTGTGAGGCTGCTTTGGCGGGGGCAGCCGGGTCTCTAAAATCTCATTAGCACAGCTTCATTCAAGTGTAAGGAAAGGCAGACAGAGACCTGGGGGAAAATACTCCTTACAAGAAGTTCAAGACACAAGGTAAGACTG